CCTTCCCTCCAGCTCAGAGTCGGTGAAGCAGCGCACAGACTTGTTCTACCTTCAGCCAGATCCTGGTTGTATTCCCAGCAGCCGTCTGTGGTTCTCCTCCACCCCTCTGGACAACAGCACATGGAAGCCATGCTTGTACGAATCCTCGCCACCCGAGAGCTGCAGGGGGGAGGTGGAAGAGGTGTGGACCAGCAGGGCCGGATGATGCGCTGTTTATATCTGAGGAGGATCAAAATGATGGCTGGCAGTTTTGTTGTTTTTGTTGAACTGTGTTAAATCTGGTTTATCATGTTGCATTAAAAAATTTATAAATTGTTCAGAGAAATACATTCCATCAAACAGAAATATAGAAATTAAGTCTCTCAACTCACGTAAATGAGTTGATCTACAAATAAGACTCAGTTCATCTGCATGTTTTGGAAATCGTGCAAGGTTAATGTTTGTTAAATACTGAACGCTCACATCCATGTTCTGTGATTGCTTTAATCTCTTACATTAAATAAACAGCCTTTATTTACTTACATTACACCCATCTTATTAAGAAAATGAAGTAGCATAACACTACAGATAAGGCTAAAATATTTCTGTGAAATCATCCCTTGAGTCTCATCACTTTAACAGATGAAGAAAAAAGTTAACTGCTCATAAACGGTTTGTCAAGTCTTTGGTTTGTTGAATGTTGATGCTTTCAGTTCTGACCTGAGATTTAGTTATTTTTTTATTTTTGAAAAAAAATACTGAAAAGTAATCCTTGTTTACATTCCTTTTTATTACGTTATTATAGATCGATATGTCCATGCATGTCCTACAGATCTACTCGGATAAAGAAACAACTTTTGACACTGACGTGAACAGAGGAGTCTATTAATATGAATCCTCTTAAACAACATGATGGTTCATTAAGGTTTTTTGTGTCCTCTGGGGTTCATTTTGACTGATTTTGTCTGTATTTAAGGTCAAATGTAGAGATGCTGCCCCTTGTGGTCAGTTAATGTTTGAGGGGTTTTACTAAAACAAATTTCACCTTCCTCTTCCTATAGACACTTCTATAGTACAAAAGCTATTTTGTAGTTTTGTTGGTGTAGCATTGTGCTGTTTTACCTTCAGACCACCATTTCCTTTGGAACTACATTTTCTCAACACAAGACATGGCTGTCTCACAGCAAGGTAAAGCACTAAAACTATTAAGCACGTAGCGTTTGCTTGAACTGATGTTGTAGCTACACTTGGAACAGTGTATTGGTACATAATGAAGGATCTGATATTCCCTCCAACACTTGTTACCTTTTACATATTATCTTCTCCATAATTATTGAGAACATTCAAGAAACAGCATGGTCTTTGAACTATGTTTATTGTTCAGTTTTGTTTTCTTTAACATTGCTCCACTGCTCCATATTCTGTATCCTGTTCTGAGATTGTTTAACAGGCTGAGTGAGACCTAAACTGAACTACTTTCAGACATTAGTTCCCAGTTTCTGCTTGTTTCTCACAATTCGTCTGTGAGGCACTTTGCAGGATTATCAAACCAACACCAAAGATGTCTTGCTGTCTCCCCCATCCTCGCACAGTCCTCCCCATCAGGATCTTCCTCTGTCCAGTTGTCTGGCTCAACACCGCTCCAAAAGATGAACTGAGAGGGTGAGAACAGAAAGAACTGGTTCAACAAACAGGTAACTTTGATATTGGAAATGGACAAAAATGTGTTTTACAACAGTGAAACCTTGTGTACAGTGGAGAGCCGTCCACCCACAACCATGTGCCCTCTTCCTTTGAGTCTGTCAGTCCAATCCAGAACCTGTCCTCAAATAGTTCATTTTTTCTCTCACTTTCAGCTCCAGGAATGTCTGGACGGAAAGTTGATGAAAGTACAACATGTAACTTTTCACACAGATATCGTGAACGAATGCAGAAAGCTACATGAACCTGCAGCAGTGTGTTATACCTGCTCCTCTCTGCTGTCTATCTTAACCAGGTCTCCTCCTTGTTGTCGACAATCCTCTCTGCTATTTTCCCAGGGTGAACTATTGTTGGAGAAATAATAGCACTTTCCTCCATGTTGCTCCCAGCCTTCTTCACATATCGCTTCATCTTTGAAGATATCACAGCAACGACTTCAGTCAGGTGCAACAATCACTGTTTATATTTGTGTGATTAATAAGCAGCAGGAGCTTTGAATCTGCGAGTAGCTGAGACAATCAGAGAGAGGCAACAGTTTTCTACACCAGTATAGTATAATACTACCAATTTAACTTTTTGTATCTGTCATTCCATCAGTTTTTCTTAATCATCATCAGAGGACAAAAACAGTTTGAAAGGAAAACTCCATCACTTACTTGTTTTTATTGCAGGAGGTTGTGGGCATGTTTGCTGCACCGTGTTGCATGGTTTTACATTACAGCGTCTCTTGTTATTAAAGAGTATTAAAAGCTTCAAGGGTTAAAGCTTGCAAGTTTATGAGTTTTAATCTGAGAGCAGCTGAAACAATCACTATTATTCTTATTCACATTTACAAGTTAGCAAGGCAGATGACTGTAGAATCTGAGCTGCAAACCACAAAATAAATCTTTTTTCTGAACCTGAACGGAGACATAACACAAACCTTTCACATTCTAGTTAAAGTGGGAAAACAAAAAAACGCAAGATAACTTGAAAACAGATCATTATCAGAGATCAGTCATTCAACAACAAACCTTGTCACATTTTAAAGTGACCCTGCAGTGTTGTAATTTAACTGACAGTAGACTTGTAACTTGTAGACTGAAGACAAAGAGAGTTTCAAATCGTGACTGGCTTACCTGTGAGTTCTTTTTAGAGCTTCATGCTCGTCTCTCAGTGTCTGGAAACTTTTCTTGGTTTGAATGTTAGCGAAAACTGATTGAAAAACATAAGAACAGGTCAAATGATCCTTTGGTAAATCAGTCAGTCCTTAATAATAAACAATTATAGAGAAAGAAACACCTTCTAAGATGAAGTCTGAAAATAACAAAAGTCACTGAATTTCATCTAGTTTTTCACAGCACTTCTAAAAGGGTCGATTCCACTGATGACAGACTGAACAAAATAAAAACTGGTCTGTGGTGGATTCCTTAATTTTAACTTGTTCTGTTGTAAATAAAAAGAGGAAAGAACATCTAGCCTGGATACAAAGCTATAAAGGTTGTTTTTTTTGTGCACATTTGAGTGTCCAGATGCTTTTTTTCATTTAACTTCTATTGTAAAATCTCTTAACACATTGTTAAAAACACTAACTTTATACTTTTTAATAATTAATTCAGATGATAATCTGGTATTTTATTATAAAGTGAGAAAGTTCTGTTAACTTGTGTACTTTAGTTGAGGAATGAAGAGAAACTAATTTGCATCTTTACTTTGCATTTCAAAATCTCACAACATGTATAACTAAATTAGTATAATAAAATAGATGAGTTTGTCAGTTTTAATGTGTATAATTACTTTAAAAACCTATAATCATGAGTTGTCTGAATGTCCAATGAATCATTTATCTAACTCATAAAATAAGTTAAACAATATTCACTCATTTACATATATTTTGCTTGTTAAAGTTATGATGAAGGTCTTTTTATACATGTGTCACAGAGACGGACACTTCCTGCACCTTTCAATATACGGTAGATTTCTGTGGCCACACAGAAGATCTAAAATTTAGTATTTATCTTAACTGTCAGGGTTACGTCTGTGTGTCTGCCTGTTTTCTGTTTTATTTAACATGGCCTATGTTTACGTGTTTTAGACAACACAATTTTGTTCCATTAAATTTGGTGAGTCTGTCTGACTTTGCTGCTGTGTTAATTTATGATTGTTTTGAAAGTCAAACTTTTATAGTGAGGAGGAGCCTGGTTATCCTGACACGTCATCCAAAATCAACTTGTTTATTGACAATAAGAAAATTAATTCAATTCAATTTTATTTATATAGCGCCAAATCACAACAACAGTTATCTCACAGCGCTTTTCATAAAAGAGCAGGTCTAGACCGTACTCTGTGATGTTATTTACAGAAGCCCAACAGTTCCCACCAAGAGCAAGCACTAGGCGACAGAGGCAAGGAAAAACTTCCTTTTAAGAGGCAGAAACCTCGAGCAGAACCATGGCTCAGGGTGGGGTGGGGTGGGGTGGGGGGGTGGGGAGAGAGAGAGAGAGAGAGAGGTGAGAGAGAGAGAGAGAGAGAGAGAGAGAGAGAGAGAGAGAGTAAGGAGAGAGAGAGAGAGAGAGAGAGAGAGAGAGAGAGGAGAGGGAGAGAGAGGAGGAGAGAGAGAGAGAGAGAGAGAGAGAGAGAGAGAGAGAGAGAGAGAGAGAGAGAGAGAGGGAGATGTAAGGAGAGAGAGAGGGGAGGGAGGCAGCCTACACAATATACACACAGAGGTACACACAGTGAAGGTAATGTTGCTATAGACTAAATGAAAAATGGTACAGATATTTATAGTAGTGTTAATGGTAACCATCGTAATGTTAATGATTATAATAACAATAAGACTAGCAACAATAGTCAGCAGAGGGTGTCGAGCAGGAACACGGGGGCAGCAGGTGACCCGCAGCCACAGATCCAGACTCCACAGCTCCAGAGCCAGAAAACCTGCAGGAAGTGATAGGAGGAGAGAGGAGAGAGACGAGAAAGCACAAGACTACCAGAAAGGGGAGAAGTTGTGTTAGTAACATGCAATAATGGGATAAGGTTGCATACAGAGGGAGAGAAAGTAGAGGAGAGAGGAGCTCAGTGCATCATGGGAAATCCCCCGGCAGTCTAGGCCTATAGCAGCATAACTAAGGGATGGTTCAGGACTCACCTGAGCCAGCCCTAACTATAAGCTTTATCAAAGAGGAAAGTCTTAAGCCTACTCTTAAATGTGGAGATGGTGTCTGCCTCCTGAACCCAAACTGGAACCTGGTTCCACAGGAGAGGAGCTTGATAGCTGAACGCTCTGGCTCCTAGTCTACTTTTGGAGACTCTAGGAACCACAAGTAACCCTGCATTCTGGGAGCGCAGTGCTCTGGTGGGGTAGTAAGGTACTATGAGCTCTTTAAGATAAGATGGTGCCTGACCATTAAGAGCTTTGTAGGTAAGAAGAATGATTTTAAATTCTATTCTGGATTTTACTGGAAGCCAATGCAAAGAAGCTAAAACAGGAGAAATGTGATCTCTTTTCCTGGTTCCTGTCAGAACACGTGCTGCAGCATTCTGGATCAGCTGAAGAGTCTTAATGGACTTTTTCGAGCAGCCTGATAATAAGGAATTGCAGTAATCCAGCCTAGAAGTAACAAATGCATGGACTAGTTTTTCTGCATCATTTTTAGACAGGATGTTCCTGATTTTCGCAATATTACGTAGGTGAAAAAAGGCGGTCCTTGAAATTTGCTTAATGTGAGACTTAAACGACATGTCCTGATCAAAGATAACTCCAAGATTCCTCACAGTGGTGCTGGAGGCCAAGGCGATGCCATCCAGGGAAACTATATCTTTAGATAATGCGTCACGGAGGTGCTTAGGCCCCAGAGCAATAACTTCAGTTTTATCTGAGTTTAACATGAGAAAATTACAGGTCATCCAGGTTTTAACATCCTGAAGGCACATTTGAAGTTTAGCTAACTGATGAGTTTCATCTGGCTTGATTGATAGATATAACTGAGTATCATCTGCATAACAATGAAAGCTTATGGAATGTTTCCTGATAATATTGCCTAAAGGAAGCATATAAAGTGAAGAGGATTGGTCCAAGGACAGATCCTTGAGGAACTCCATGAGTAACTTTGGCGTGCATGGAGGACTCATCGTTAACATGTACAAACTGAAATCGATCTGATAAATAGGACTTAAACCAGCTTAGAGCGGTTCCTTTAATGCCAATGAAATATTCCAGTCTCTGCAATAGGATCTGATGGTCAATGGTATCAAATGCAGCACTAAGATCTAATAAAACCAGTACAGAGACAAGTCCTTTGTCTGATGCAATAAGGAGGTCGTTAGTAATTTTCACCAGTGCTGTCTCTGTGCTATGATGAGCTCTAAATCCTGACTGAAAATCCTCAAATAAATATTGCTCTGTAGAAAGTCACACAGCTGTTTAGCAACTGCTTTCTCCAGAACCTTAGAGAGAAATGGAAGGTTAGATATAGGTCTATAGTTGGCTAAAACATCCGGATCAAGTTTGGGCTTTTTCAGAAGAGGTTTAATTACAGCTACTTTAAAGTACTGTGGTACATAGCCTGTTGATAAAGATAGATTGATCATATCTAGTATAGAGGTGCTGACTAAGGGTAGAACATCTTTAAGCAGCCTAGTCGGGATGGGGTCTAAGAGGCAGGTTGATGGTTTAGATGAAGAAATTATTGAAGTTAGTTGGTAAAGATTGAGGGAAGCAAAACAGTCTAAACATGTATCTGGTTCTACAGCTGTTTCTAAGGTTCCTGAGTTAAGAGATAAGTCGGTGCCAACTGAGGGCAGGTCTTGGTGAATTTTGTCTCTAATAGCTAGAATTTTATCATTAAAGAAGCTCATGAAGTCGTAACTACTGAGCTATGGGAATACTTGGCTCAATAGAGCTGTGACTCTCTGTCAGCCTGGCTACAGTGCTGAAAAGAAACCTGGGGTTGTTCCTATTTTCCTCTATTAATGACGAGTAGTACGCTGCTCTGGCATTACGGAGGGCCTTCCTATAAGTTTTAAGACTATCTTGCCAAATTAAACGAGAATTTTCCACTTTGGTGGAACGCCAATTCCTCTCAAGTTTCCGTGATATTTGCTTTAATTTGCGAGTTTCAGTATTATACCATGGAGCTAACCGTCTTTGTTTTAGTATTTTCTTTTTTAGAGGGGCTACAGAGTCGAGTGTCATTCGCAGCGAGCCTGCAGCACTATCAACAAGATGATCGATTTGGGAGGGACTGAAATTAGCATAGGAGTCCTCCGTTACTTTGTGACTAGATAATGTATTTAGAGCTGATGGAATCGCATCCTTAAATTTAGCTATGGCACTATCAGACAGACATCTTGTATAGAAATTTTTGCCCAATGGCGAGTAGTTCAGCAATACAAACTCAAAAGTTATCAAACAGTGGTCGGATAAAGAGGGATTCTGTGGGAACACCACTAAATGTTCAATTTCAATACCATACACCAAAACAAGGTTGAGGGTGTGGTTAAAACAGTGAGTCGGTTCATGAACACTCTGAGAGAAGCCGATGGAATCTAACAAAGAGATAAACGCAGTACTAAAGCTGTCATTCTCAACATCCACATGAATATTAAAATCCTACAATAATAACTTTGTCCGTTTTAAGGACTAAAGTTGACAAAAACTCTGCAAATTCAGATAAGAATTCAGAGTACGGGCCAGGTGCTCGGTACACTAAGAAAAAGAATTGGTTGCAGTGATTTCCAACTTGGGTGCGAAAGACTAAGAACAAGACTTTCAAATGAGTTATAGTTTAGTTTAGGTTTAGAGCTGATTAGTAGGCTAGAGTCGAAGATAGCTGCAACTCCACCTCCTCGGCCTGTGCCTCGAGGAATGTGAGTATTAATATGACTGGGAGGGGTGGATTCATTTAGGCTAACATATTCTCCATCACCCAGCCAGGTTTCAGTAAGACCAAATAAATCAATATCATAATCTGATATTAGTTCATTTACTAGTACACCTTTAGAAGAGAGAGATCTGATGTTTAAGAGTCCACATTTAACTCTCCTATTCGTTTGCACTATTGCTCTTGTGGTTTTAATTTTTATGAGGTTTTTATGCACAGCTCCTCTTCTGTTTACCTTTTTAAATAATTTCGATGGTCGGGGGGGCAGACACCGTCACTATAGGTTTTCACTAAGTAACTCCTGAAATGGAGGAGCAGAGAAGTGTGTTAGACTGCGACTCTGCGTAGGGTTTTGGGTGGGTAACTGCTGAAAAAGAAGGGCAGAGAAGTGTGTTAAACTGCGACTCTGCCTCCTGGTCTCAACTCTGGGTTGTCATGGATTTGGTCCACTAATAAACTTGGCCAGATTTCTAGAAATGAGAGCTGCTCCTTCCCAAGTGGGATGGATGCCGTCTCTCCGGATCAGACCAGGTCTTCCCCAGAAAGTCTGCCAATGATCAACAAAGCCCACATCGTTTGCTGGACACCACCTTGACAACCAGCGGCGGAATGACGACATGCGGCTATACATGTCATCACTGGTCAGATTTGGCAGGGGTCCAGAGAAAACTACGGTGTCCGACATTGTTTTTGCATATGTGCACACCGACTCAACATTAATCTTAGTGACCTCCGATTGGCGTAACCGGGAGTCATTACCGCCGACGTGAATAACAATCTTACTGTATTTACGTTTATCCTTAGCCAGCAGTTTCAAATAAGACTCAATGTCGCCCGCTCTGGCCCCAGGGATGCACTTAACTATGGCCGCTGGCTTCGCTAAATTCACGTTTCTCAAAATGGAGCTGCCAATGATCAGAGTTGGTTTCTCAGCGGGTTTCGCTGAGTGGGGAAAATCTGTTAGAAACGTGAACAGGTTGATGATGCCCCGTGGACTTTGAATGCTTACGACTATTCCTCCTTCGGACAGTCACCCAGCCCCCCCCCCTTTCCTGGCTGCACAGGAGATGCCGGAGGACGGCTACCAGAGGCTAACTCAGGCCGTTCGCACCGACTACCGGGGACTGGCTAGCTACAGTAGCTAAAGACTGATCTACCAAGGTGCGGAGCCGGACTTCTAAATCACTGAGCCTCGCCTCCATGTCTATAAATAAACTACACTTATTACATGTACCATTACCGCTAAAGGAGGCAGAGGAGTAACTAAACATCTGACACACCGAGCAGGAGAAAGTAGGAAAGAGAGAGGGAGAAGGAGAAGCCATCGCTAGCTGCTAAGCTAAAGTCGCTAACGGCTAAGCTAAATTACTGTAGCGTCAGTTACCAAAACTTTAGAACAACTATGAGATTGAACAGCAGTCACTAAAAGATGGAAAGAACTGTGAGTGCTTAGGCAAAATTACTGTAAAGAATAAGTGTTTAGCGAACAGTTGGCCGCTGTAATCTAACAAATGTAACTGTTATTTAGCGAGAGCAGCACAACACGGTACCAACACACAAGCACCGGAAACGGAAATGAGTCGACACGCTTACCGCAATACGTCAGCAGTACCAATGGCATGGAGTTCCCTATTCAAACCTTCGGGAAAATTAACTACTCTTTAAACTCATTAATGGAGTTTAACGTGTTGAACAAACACAATACTGATTCTTTTAAGGTGTTGTGGTGGCAGCCCGGCTGACGGTGAGTGTCCTGGTTTTTTCTACTTTTTATCAGTTTTTCTGCTTTTTCCCTTGGTTTCCTGTTCTCTGCCCGCCTCTCTGTGTTTTCTCCACCGTGTGCTCTCTCTCCCTCTGCTCCTGAGCCCAGCCAACTACCTGCACCTGCAACCCATCATCCACCTCGTCAGCCTGCCACACCTGCCAGTAATCAACCTCATCCCAGCCTGTATTTCAACCCCGGTTCTCCACACCATCCTTGCTTGATCGTCGCTGCTCCATACCTGGTGCCACTTCAGTGTTCAAGCTTCCATGCTCCTTGTTTTTTCACACTTACCCTGTGCCTTGTCTTTGTCTTCCCTAACCTTGCCTCTCTGTCTGTTTCCCTCCCAGGTACACTCACCCTCGTCCTCCGTTCGGCTGGGCTCATCCACTGGCCCACTCCTCTATGGACTTCCCTCACGGCGTCCTCCCCGTTCCCCCGCCTCTCCTCGCTTCCTCGGCCCGTGTTCCCCGGCTCCCTGGCCCCCTGTCTCCTTGGTTCCCCGTGCCAGTACTTCCCCGACGTCCTCCTCTCCCTCCACTCCAGTCCCTCTCACCCTTTTTTCCCCCAATAAACCTCCTTCCCTCTGAGTGCAGCATTTGGGTCCTCTCTGTCCACACACCACACCCCGTAACATAAGGTAAATTTCATCAAGTTGTTCCACTGAGGTGAAACTGTAAAACAAAATGTGTTTTATTCTCCAGTGCAGCTTTGTCATCTTTTAAAAGTCAATCTACATGATAAACTTACTTAGACGGTAAATAACAATGACGGCAGCTGCCAGGAGAGCGCTGAGAACCAGCAGGGCCACTCTCTCTGCTGTGACCTTTGACCCTCTGTTTGACACCGAGCGTTGTTTGAAGGCAGGAGCTTCACCTGTTAAACACATTTTCTGTGTCACTTTGCAGCTCTAAAAATATTGAGAGCTGCATTTAGCACATCGTTATATAAAGTACAGCACAGCATGTCACTCGCTCACAACATGTAACATGTGACTCCTACCAGCATCTCTAAAGCTCAATGATGAACTGTACAGAAGGCAATTTTTAAAAGTTGAATAATATCCATAGTTAATGGAAGATGTGGACCATTTTAAAGTTTAAATAGATTTCTTGCTTAAAATAAGTAGTAGTGAATGAGTAGATGACAAGACTTGTAAAATGCTTGAAAAGGTGTTAAAATGCGCTCCTGTCACTTGGAGCCTCATGGCACCAAATGTGTAAGATGTTGAGATTTTAAATTGAATACAATGAAATGAACTTGGCTGCCCTGCTTCATTTGCACTTGAGCAGTTTTTCACATTGCTATTTGTTTAACACAGTACAGAGGTTTGTTGCTTGTAATAGACAAACAGGAAATGACATACTTGTCTCTTCTAAATGTCTCAGTTCCTGATTCTTCTCCTCTGCACTCCATTTTACAGTAAACTAACATAGGCTACCCAGTGCTTGAATTGGGCTGGTAACTCACCAGTACGCAGTGACCACTTATGCTTCCTCGTCGCAAATTGATAGTCTAACCCTAACCATTGTGCGTGCAAAAGAACTGCAAAGCAGCACATCTCGATAGGTAGCATAAATCTCCAGCACTACATTTTACATTTTACTGTGACTTTTTCTTGCCCATTGGCACTTCTCACAAGCTGCTGTTATAGGCCTACTCTTTTCTGGTTGTCTGTGCGGTTCATATGACCCTAAATAAACTATATTACCCAATGAGCACTATGTGATGAAGGGAGAACAGCAGAGCTGATACTGGAGCTGTTGAATGGCATATCAGATATTTTTATTTTGATTAATCCATTTTGAGATATATTGTAGTCTGCTGGCCAGGAAGTAATAAAACAATTTGGTAGTGCTAAACCATCACAATCTTTTTTGGCAAATCTTTATTGTTCAGAAATGTATCGATGTTACATGTTAAAGTTCTCCAAGCTTTGCAACTGGGATTGAGTCTTTTTATCAATAATAAAATAAATTTTCTAAAATCGTTCAGCATATGTTCCTGTAAGGAGGCAGCATGGGCAGCTTCTAATGTTTTTATTTTTTGTTCTAGCTCTAATTCATGAGATCTCTATTTATTTTGTTTGTCTAATGAGTAGGAGATTATTTTACCTCTCATGGTTGCTTTTGCTGCCTCCTAAAGAACACAGTGAGATTCCTGTCAGGTCATTAGTTTCCATAAATATTGCGCAATCCTTTTTGAAATAACTAACAAAAGTTAAGATATGTATGTATTGATTGAACTTGGGTATGAGGATTATCAGTTAAAAAAAAGGCAAGTGATGGGGGAATGAGGGGCAAGAGGGAAAAAAAATTGATGCGTCTTTTGAGTTGAGAGAAAATGTTTTCTTTAAACCATGGCAAAGTTGAAACATGGACATAATCAACTAATTCGGGTTGAGCGTGTACTCTGTTGAAACAAGTATCTGGTACAGATATTGTACTTTTAACAAGTACGAGTATCATCAGAGTAAAATGTGTTTGTTCTCTTACTATTGAAATCAAAAATATTGCTCTGAAGCTCAATTCTGAGGCTGCTCTATAAATAGTTTTCTAACAAATATAGCAAATATAGCTAGTATAAAGTAGCATACAAGAGAAACACTCGAGTAAAGTACAAACAGCCAAAACTGCATAGTACAAAACTGTATAGTTTTTGAGTATAGTTACATTCCAGCACTTATTACCTTTTTCTATGTATTCCTGTCGATGGCTCATTGTGTAACTTTATATGAGTTTTTCAGATCCCGACTTCAGAACAAGAGGTATCAGTTGATGAGGAAACGTTCTCTGAAAAAAAAAGCCAAAATGGTAAAATTCTTTGTGTTACTGTGGAAGTAAAATTTTCCATTTGTTCTGTAAACATTCGTATTTTTGACAACTTTGGCAGCATTAGACCGACAGACCAATAGACAAATGGTATAAACTGATACATCAAGCAACACATTTAAAACTCACCACTGACTTTTCATCCTGCTCTTTTGTAGGATTTAAAACTTAACATCAATATATACAGCACATCAACCATCAACCTCTGGCATTTTTGTGACCAGCAGTGACACTTTGTGCTACTTAAGTGTTCACAGCTTTCTGTAAAAAAACAACTTCCTGTTGCACTCAAAGATGGGGAGGATCCTTTATCTTAAAGAGTCTAGTGCCCCAAACCAATTTTTTGTCATGTTATGTTTGTGGTTTCAGAAACCATTCTTGTGCAATAACCCAGTAACTCTGCCTCTTATTATTTATTCACCATTCTCTGTTTCAGAGCTGTTCATACCGTTCATGTTGTCATATTGTATATACTGTATACCAAATCCACCTCGTGTACATAACACCACACATAATACTTATTTATTCCTGCATTCTTTACACCCTGTGTACATGTATGCTTGTATGTGTATGTGCACCTGTATATCACATCCACCTCCGACAAACACAATAATATGTTACAACCCGGCTCATGTGGAAAGGGAAGCAACATGAACCAGAGTGTTTTTGGTAAAAGTGCAAGTTGTTTATTGTTGACAGGGTTTACAAACAGAACGGAAAAGCGCTGGTGGATGCTGCTTAAATCAAAGAACCAAATATAACTTAAAGAGGTCTCTCCAACTGAGAGATGGCCACCTGCTAATCAAACTAAACAAAACTCTGACTTGCCCAGTAAGAAACAAAATACAAAATGAGCGGCACCCTCTAAGCCCAGTGTGTCTAACAAATAGTGTTGTGTCGTTCAAAGAACGTTTCGTTGATAAGACCTAATCGTGTGTATGACTCGGGAGGAACGGGTTGTCTCAGTGAGTGATTCGTTCATTTTCACGCATGCGTGAAGGATCTTGGACTCTTGCGTTCACTCGTCACACAGCAGCTGCATGGGATCCGTCAGCACAGGAAACAGAATTGATTAGTTCAGGACTCTCAACTGTGGGTCTCTGGGTTTGACTCTTTCATTTGTCACGTGACAGCTCCTACTGTGGGGCAGGAATGAACTACTCGTTCACTGCTCACATGGGTCCTGCTAGTGTTTAACATTACAGCTAACAGCTGATGAAGTTGTTCTGGGTCCACTCTGAGAAAGCTCAATTCTGAGGCTGTCGTCTCCTCTCCAAAACAAACAGACCCGGTCATTAAAACATTAAAACACAGCCAGGTAGCAACGTTAGCGTTAGCCCTGTAAACCGCTAACAGCTGATCCAGGTCCGCCAGAGAACGCAATGTAACTTTTCCTTTTTATTTACCAACAGAGCCGTGCTGTTGTTTCTCAGCTCGTGACTGGTGAACAACCTGCAGTGTTTGAGAGCGATGTGCTCATGTGTGTTTCTCTGTCTGCAGAATCAGGACCTGATGTGGTCCATTCTGCGTCCAGAACTGCCAAACTGCTGCGTTTACATGTGTTTATTTCTTTGTTCCTCTCTCTGTGCTGGAGTTCTTTAAGAACTTGGTGGCTTGATCCAGATTATTATTAAATTGGTTGAATTTTAATAAGAGTGTGTTTATTCACATAGTGTATCAAGCTTATTAGTTCAATACATTTACTGCAAATCTGATATTCATATTTTACTCATGGATAGGGACGTTAGGCTACTGTATGAATGAGCACTTTAGAGATAATGATAGTAATTATATACATAAGCCTTTACATGGCTGGTCTGGTTGTATACTTGGGAAAGATTGTGAAAATGGAAGGAATGTTTTTTAATCGCCCACTAGAGGGCTGCAGCGCCACAATAACCAGCCTAGTTCAAATGAACGAAATGACTCAAAAAAAGATTAGTTCATTTTAATGAACGAGATTTGAATGAATGGGTCTGTCAAAAGACTCGAACTTGCCATCACTACTAACAAACTTAACTGCAGGTCGATATCAGTAATCCCCCACTAGGGTACTTGCCCTGCTTCCTTAACACAATTCATAGTAAAGGTAACACTCTGACACTAAGAACTAACACTTATCACTAGAACTAACGCTTCTACAGCAGTTAACACAGTTACCACTATAAAGGACAATACGAACGAGCCGAGTTGATCAAGGGGAAAATCACAACTGCCAAGTTCACACAGGTAGGCAGCTATTTAAACAGGGGATGATCTGGAAGGCGGTAGATGACTAGAGGAGGTTTCCAGGCGCCGCACCAATCAGACCATCAGCCGGAACCTCACGCCCAGCCAATCCTCGGCAAGGTTTCGCACATCCTGCTTAACATAACACACAGCTGCACAACACAGATACATATACACAGATAATGGAGGAGGCCATCACAAATAACAATATTGGTAATAATATTTTTTTCTCCTGCTTCCTTTGCACTCTGTTCATTCCACTACTGCACTATTGCACTATCTGTTTGTTTTTTTTCATAGTGTGTGTGTGTGTATAAATATATATATATATATATATATATATATATATATATATATATATATATATATATATATATATATAGTGTTCTCTACACTGTAGCCTGTGTTTGATTATTATTGTCTTATTGTATTATTGTATAAGTAAGCACATCATGAGCATTGTCCAGAGTGAAATTCCTCGTATGTGTACACATACCTGGAAATAAAGCTCATTCTCACTCTTTTCTACTATTACTTTGACCCCTCTCCTCTTCCTCTTAAAATACTCTAGGATGCTCATCTCTGTGTGAACATTTTGAATGCCGTTTATGTTGCTTGTCGATTATCTCTTATTTATCTATTTCTGTTTAAAACAATTATTTTCCTTTTTTTTGTAATCTACATGAAGATATCTGTAAGATCACTTTAAAATATCAAGCTTGCTGTCTAGCCTACTATTGTTGCCTGTGTTGTAACGTGTGTGTCATGTTAAAAGCCCAAGATGTTCTATCCACAGATTTATTTATCTATCCGTCAGATTTTAAGACAAATGTATTTAAAGCACCGTCAATCTGACAGTGTTAAAGTGGAACAGGAGAACTTGGGTAGAGTGTGACAATATTTTTAAACATAAAAAACTCCTCTGCAACAACTGCGGATTAATAGTATTCAGTAACACTGTATGGTCAACGACTCAATACTATAAATTAACTAAATGTTTGGATTTATCAGGAACACAGTATCTGGATACTGTGAAACTTAAGTTAATAGCCCGGACTTGCATTTGCTTCAATCACTGAACTCACCGTGCCTATTTTTGGGACAGGCTTCGATACGGTACAGGCCTTTAATTCCTTTTGCACAAAACTCTTGCTCAGTAAAGATTGCCCCCTATCAAATTGTTTATTTCAACCTGTATGAATATTACTTGTATAAAAATGTGGCTTTTTTCATCTGTCGTTTACCACACCGGTAAATCCATAACATAAACTAAACAATATGTTGATATTGACAAACGTTTTAACATTTAAATTTGTAATTAGCTTTGAACTAGATCAAGCGGGCGACCCAGGGGGCATTAAGGTTTTACACATCCAAAAAACTTTTAGAAATAAAACCAAACCAGGCGTCAAATTGAGAAATGTGTTTATTTGTCAAAATGTGTGTATAAAAATAACATTGCTCCACATTCTGTACTGAGATTGCTTAACCAGACGGAGACTTAAACTGAACTACATTTCATAAACCAGTTTCCAGTTTCTGCTGGTTTCTCACAAATACTTCTGTGAGGCTTTTTGCAGGATTTATCAAACCAACACTTCAGGTCATGAGCTCCTGATTTCTCCCCCATCCTCGCACAGTCTTCTCCATCAGGATCTTCCTCTGTCCAGTTGTCTGGCTCAATGCTGCTCCAAAAGGACAAACTGAGATAGTGAGATCAAAAAGAACTGGTTCAATAAAACTGGAAACTTTGATATTGGAAATTGACAAACATCTGTTTACAACAGTGAAACCTTGTGTTCAGTGGAGAGCCGTCTGCCCACAACCATGTGCCCTCTTCCTTTGAGTCTGTCAGTCCGATCCAGAACTTGTCCTCAGGTTCGTTCATTTTGTCTCTCAGTTTCAGCTCCAGGAATGTCTGCACGGGAAAGTTGATGAAAAGGCAACATGTAACATCACTTTTCTGAGCTGAGAGATCATGTTAACTAATGCAGAAACATAAGGATGTGATAAATGAAGCCAGTGAGCTACATGAACCTGCAGCAGTGTGTTATACCTGCTCCTCTCTGCTGTCTATCTTAACCAGGTCTCCTCCTTGTTGTTGACATTCAACTCTGCTGTTATTCCAGGATGATCTATTGGTGGAGAAATTATAGCACTTTCCTCCATGTTGCTCCCAGCCTTCCTCACATATCGGACATGACTCATCTTAGAAGAGTGGACAGCAAAGACTTCAGTCAGGTGCAACGAACCACTGTTTATATTTGTGTGATTAATAAGCAGCAGGAGCTTTGAATCTGAGCGCAGCTGAGACAATCAGAGAGAAGCAACAGTTTTCTGCTTCACAGGTACAGTATGCTGCCAAATTGCCAATATAACTTTGTATTGTATCTGTCAGTCGATCACTGTTTCTTTCTTTCTTTGTTTTGTGGGCTTTTTTGTCTTTATTTTTTTAATGATATGACAGTTGAGGGATATGAAATGTCGGGGAGAGAGACAGAGAAGAGGGGATGACCTGCAGCAAAGGCCCACGGGTTGAGCCTAGTGGTGAGCTAACCAGGGCTCCCACCGTTAATCATCATCAGAGGATGCAAAAATGTTAGAAAGGAAAAATCCATCTCTCACTTTTTACTGCAGGAGGTTGTGGGCATGTTTGCTGCACCGTGTTGCATGGTCTTTCATGGTGCAGTTGAGCTGAGAGATAATTAACAGACTAATATCAGAATTAAACTTAAAACCATCTGTTGATAACCATCCAAGTTTAATTAAACATATGCCACATTTTGAAGTGACCTCATGGACTAAACCTTTTAGACAGTTTCAAACACAAACAAGCTTACCTGTGAGATTACTTTTCACAGCTTCATGCTCAGCTGTCAGTTTTTGGAGACGTTCCAGGGTTTGACTGTTTTTATAAGCTGATTTTAAAAAGTGGAGGTCAAACATATTATTTGGTATATAACTTATTTAGTAAACTACTCAGTGTTTAAAGAAAACATCTGTTTATCAGAAGAGAATCACTCC